GCAACAGCAACCGCAACAGCAAGAGCAACAGCAACAGCAAAACCGAACCAACATCAAAAACCAACACCAACACCAACACCAAAACATAGAATCGTACATACTTACACAGTGTGTATGACTAGACACATGCTTTTTTATGTGATTGTCTATGGATACATATGTGTATGTGTACGCATCGTGTACTATATACATGATGCATGTGCAATTGTGTGGTTATGTGTGCGTATGTATATATATATATACACACACATACACACATACGCATCTGTAATGTATTGGGGACATCACGAGAAAACACGCTACAGTACGCACGTGATCAAAAGTCAGATGCAGACTTGTACGAATCGTCATTAATGCAAAAGTCGTATTGCTAGGACTAGGAAATAATGAACTTGATAGTTCACAATGGCTTCAAATCATGAGCAAGTATTCACAAATCCAAGAAGCGCAGATAGCACCAGACCGCGACATCATAAGCTCAAGTCCACGTCCCAGGACCACTCCGCCAGAACGCCGCGCAACTCCAAAACCCCACGTATCCCCGGCCGAAACGAGACGAGCAAGCCGCATGGTGTGGCACGTTGGGTGTGGGAGACGCTTGAAACATTTTCAAGCTACCACTGCCGTGAGGCATTTGGGAGTTGGGGCGTTTTGAAAGCCAAAGATGGACCCGAAGAAATGACCTGCGCGTTGCAGACATGGCACCGAAGAAATGACGTGGGCGCGGCAGACGGTCTAGGCTCGCCTGGCAGCATCGCTTGTGTAGTGACTTCATGCCGAACGTATTTTTCCGACACATTTTGTCGGGAATACAGATCTAATCATATATATACATATATATCAACATATGTATGCATACACTGACCTACGGTATATGCTAATCTTCTAATAATAGAAGTGAGAGAGGGACTAGCGGTGATTTTCCGGTGCACGAATTCCGGTGCAGATTTCCTCTGTCTTAAGCCGCAGCATTTGATGCCAATGACGCCAACTGTTACGCTTCTCCATCTTCGGAGTCGTGAAGCGCCTCCCACCTACCAACTAAGGCTTCGGAAGCAGCTTGCTCGGTCAGACACGATCAGAGCCGAAGCTTCAGGACAAAATTTGCATGTTTCACGTTCAAGCAGACCTCAATCGGACAATTCGACCGGTCAGACTTCCTGAAGTCTTCGCCTTGAACTTTCTTGCGGCAAGGACCTCCATGGCAGTGTCGGCCCGAGTCGTCAGGCTACGAAGCAGCATGCTTGAGCACGTGTCATCGATACCAGGGCGCCACGAAGCCTTGGAAGAAGGTCTAGGCGACGGTTTCGCAGGTAGGAATGTTGCTTCGTTGTATTTGCAGATTTTGTAGCCTTGCCTTTGCAGCTGTTCTTGTCGCTGAAACTGCTTCCTGAGCTTGCTGCAGTGGTCGCAGAATGTGTTGAGCAAGGCGAACCAGACGTTGGCGCAACATTTGCCCATCTGCTCTTTTGCAGGCCAGGCAAAGAAAGGTCGTGGGCACAAGGCAGGTGTCCGTCGCAGGGAAGCGTCGCACTGTTGGCGAAAAAGCTTCACTGAAAGTGTCACGTGTAACTCGGGAGCCGGCGCAGGGCCGTTCCGTCCAGCGCACCGCAGGAGGGGTCGTCTCAAGGCTGCATTCAATACTGCTGTGGCTCCGCAGTTGCGAGTTTGCCCCGCGGCACAGAAACCATCCGGCCCCACTTTCTCGGCGAATCTCGGCTTAGGCGATTTGCCGAGCCGAGTTGCCACCGCCTCCATTCAAGACGGAGGCCGTCGGTCGGACCTCGTCGCGGCTGCTGTCGAGAGCATCTCGCAGCTCGCAGGCCGTGAAATGTAGTATCACCAGCTGTGCCTCCAAAGCAACGGAACAACGAAGCTTGGCTATAGCTTTGTTGAGGGCGTGCTTCTGCTGCAATGCTCAAAAATAGTGGTGGATGAGCGAGTCGCTCAAACTCAGGACTCGAGGATCCCCAGCCCATTAGACACCGGCTCATCTGCACCTCGGTTGCGAGAGTTAACCCGCCCCTGAGACTCTTCTAATTCTCTCTGAACTGCCGAGGTCCTGTAAAACGAACGAAGGAGGCTGTCGAGGCCACGGGCTACAGCTACTCACCTCGCGGAGCCCAGGCCAAACCAGTAGCCGGAAGCTTGAAATCATCCTTGCAGAGCCTTTTCCACAGTGTCCAGCTTAGGTCCAAGATGTCCTCGAGGACCTGAAGGGTTCGATCCCATTTTGGTAGCGTTCTTAGCTAGAGTATACAATTTGATGAGGCCCTTGCTGGCCATCAAAGATGGCTGACACTTGTGAACAGGACGCCTCGAATAATTTTCAAAGGCAGGTTGCCTAAGGCAACGTCGTTAAAATGTTGCATGCACGAGTGCATGCTGCCAAGTGGTTCCCGGTGCTTATGGACCAATGGAGCAAGGGCTTCATGCACAAAAGCTGCACATAGTCAGAAAACAACATTCCTGCATGAGCCCGCAGTACGACTGAACCGAGCAGCCGAGACGGGGAAGTCTCGGCCGGTCAGGTGATCCACGATTGGCCCCAGGGCCGGTCGATCCAGGCCAGCTGCTCGCTTGCTTTCGCTTGCTTTCGCTTGCTTTCTTGAAGCCTGGGTGCTTCAAGGCGGTGGCAGTTTCGCGATTTCAGCCCACCTTGGACGAAGAGTTGCAGGCAGTGATCTGTACTGTTGGGTACATGTAACTGCTTAGCGCCTGCATGCTTCGTGATTTCTCACGGCCCTGCCAGACATTTACAGGAGAGCCTGCTGAGTTGCTTCTCCCTGGATCTGCAGCTTATGGCTAAGATACTTTAAGCGGCGTGTTTCGTTACGTTGCTGCACTGGCATTCGGTCGTGTCATCCTTCTGCACAGCCTAGGCCGCAGCACCAGACACAGTCTGCGAAGCCCAAGCGACGCAGGGTGACATGGCTACAACTTCTGCAATGAAACGGGGCGGAGGGGGTGGGGGGGGGGGGCAGACTATGCAGGAGGGACTTCCAAGTTGTCCCATGCTAAGATGCTGCGCCATTCCGTTTGCAACGTCCATCTGGGTGATGCGACGCAGCCCTCTCTGTTCCTGGAGGCATGTCGTGCTCGTAGCAAGCACCGTGTCAGCGGGTTTGGGGAGCTGCGTTGAGCCAATTGGCGCAGGATGTGAGACTACCGACGGAGGAACTCCCCCGTAGCGTCTTTCCGCTCGAGGCCTGAGACATGGAAGACTACTAACAGTAACTAACACCTAGTAAGGGTGCTGCCGTTCCTTTAGCCAAGCAATGTACATTGGTCCCAATCCTAATCAGAAGCACCTCTGCATCCTGCACTGCATCACTTTGCTATCATATTGCCCTGGCTATGCAAGCGATGCCTGCGACAGAAGGCGCACTGAGAGCGCGAGCGAGTCGATTGCCGACTGAATTTTGAGGGAAAGCGCCGTCACTGCAAGGAAAGAAGTGCCACAGTGAACGATTGATTTTACGAACTGATCGGGTGGAGCAAGTGACAGTAGCCAATGAAAATCAATGAACACATTTTCAAGGTGGCACTATTCAACTCGGTGTGCTGTGAACGGTGTCTTGCACGTTGGTAGCGTCCCTGAGCTACTCAAAGGCGATTTGGCCGCGTTCTCATGTGGATATGGGAAAGTAGGAGGTGGGAGGGAAGCTCAGAAACAAGCAAAGGATAAGATGAATTAAGCAGCGGGGTTTCAACACAGGAACTGGAGACTGGGCGCTTAAGCAGTGCAGAGCAACTCAATCACGAAAGCTAGCTCTGTGGAGCTTGCAGGAGTTGTCGTGTACCATTCACTTAGGTAAGAGAGATCTAGGTCAAAAGCGCATGCAGGACCTAGTCTGGTCCGTTTTCAGTAGTTAAAGGGGGGGAGAGGGGGGGTTCTCCCCCTTGTGCCACCACGGAAATGATTGTTCTAGAGCAACTAAGGGGCGGCCCCCCCACCACAACGTCCCTGCAACATTGAAAAAGGGGGGCTACCTATTATGGTCCCCCCCCCACCATATGGTCCCACCCCGACCCTTCTGGTGCCATCAGAACAGATTACGTTTGCATGCCGGCGCGGTTGCCGCTTCAGTTTAAGAGCTGCAGCCGACAAGGGCGTGGAAGCCTTGCAGCGTGCGCACCTAACAGGCCAGGAAGCTCATCAGGAAAGCTTTAAGAAGTTAACTTAATGGAACAAGTATCTGCAACACTGCAAGCAAACCTGCATGGATTTGCACTTGCTCGCCTGCTCTGTACATGGCTTCTCCAATCCCACGCTTCTCGTAGTTTGAACTTGTAACAGTCTCTTCCTGCGTGGCATATGAAAGGAGCATAGGATGTATGCTACTCAATGCGGGGGCTGGGTGCAGGAAATCCTTTCGCGGAACATCTTGTGGCTCGTGGCGCAGATGGTGCGCAAATTAGTCAAGCCCTCGGCATGCAACCTGGTTTGGCGATGCTCACGAAGAGAAGTTCGTGGCCGAAAGTAATCCACCGAGGATCTCACGCCTGCGCCGCCCGGACTTGGGCAGGTGCACAATGTGCCAATGTGCGCAAAGATGCCAGAGCCTCGAATCACGGATTTCGGCAACGGCAGGAGAAGCCGCCTTCGGTGGGAGGCCGCGGCCGCACAGGTGAGACACTGGTGGAAGTGTAAGGACCCGTTCTGAAGTCCAGGAACGCCGGGTGCTGTGGAGACGCTCGTTGCGGGAATGGCCAGGACAGTTTTCTTGCTTTGAAGCGGAGGCGTCACGCTGCCTGCACGTAGCTCGGCATTGACCCAGGCATGTAGCAAAGGGGCTCGAACGTTTGGTGATTTCAACATGCCTGCAATGACCCTTCCGAGTTTGACACGGGACACTACGTGGAGTGCATTCCGCTTGGCACCTGGCACCGGATGTGTGCCCCGAGAGCCCAACGAACGGCTCCTGGCGCAAAGGTATCCCCCAGGCCGCCTACGCATCTCTGCATTCCACCACCATGGTGAGGCAGTTCCTCGCTTTGGCGGCTTTCTCACAGGTGCCATGGCACTCGTCCTCGCCCTACGAGGTTGCACTGGCTACAGGCTGGCTTTTCATGCCCGATGCAGACAAACGAGACGTCGACCTTTGCGAAACAGTGGTGGGGAAGCCGAAGCTGAGAAAGATGTTGCAGTTCCGACCAGATTGCAGCTGCTGAAGTTTGCTGCCCCTTTGGCCGCAGTGAGCGTGACAGGCCCTATCTTGTCGACTATTGATACATCATTTGTTGGACGATGTGCTGGCACAGTGGAGTTGGCAGCCCTTGGACCTGCTTGTACAGTTACAGACCTCATCTACCTGATTTGCAGCACGGTTTCGACTGCGGCCATCAATCTGTATGCAAAAAACGCGGAGGAGCAAAAGTTGAAGAGATTCAATGCGACGTGCCTTTCTGTGGGTTTCTTCGTGGGAGTCGTTGCTGCCCTGATATCTCTTACGTTAGGTGGGCAGTTGCTTCAAGCTCTCGGAGCCATGCCAGTGATGATGGGGGTGGCACGGAAGTATGTGGTAGTGCGAGCTCTTGGACTTCCATTTGCGAGCATGGCCTGTGCCATGTATGGGCTTTGTGTTGGACGTGGCGACACGCAAACACCACTGGCCGTGCAAGTTTACTTGTCAGCTCTTTTGAATGTTTGCTTCGACTGGCTACTTTGTGCTGTCATTCCATGGGGAGCGTCAGGTGCTGCCTGGGCAACAGTCGCCGCGCAGACAACCAGCTTCTGCGCTTATTTCGTTTTGATGCGGCGGAAAGGGCACCTTCAACTGCCAAGTTCAGAAGACTTCCTGCCATCCTTCGCGGAAGTGAAGCCAGTATTTTCAATATTCCTTCCTGTCTCCTTCATTGTGGTGTGTGTCCTATCAATGTACGCGTGCATGTCAGGCTTTGTGAACAACACACAGCCCTTGCCGATGATAGCTGCATATAAGATTTGGATAACGGTCTTTGCATTCTTTGCTTTGTGCGCAGACCCGATGGCAGCCGCAACCTCCACCAAGCTTCCTCCATTCATTCTCGAAGGATCCAGCCCAAAGGCACGGCTGTTCGTCCGACGAGCTATTACCTGTGCTGCCGGAGTTGGCGCGGTTGGGGGTGCCTCGCATCGATGTCAGTATAGTATGTTCATGTTGATCTTGTTGCTGTCGCTGGTGTCACTACGTCACTACGTCGCGTGCGTTGCTGCTGAGGTCTGCTTGGTGCATCAGTGCTAAACTTTCTGCCGTGGATCTTTACCCAGGATGCGACAGTCTTGGACGGCGCCAGAAATGGATTGTTTCATTTTGTGGTGCACCTCGGCCAGGAACTAGAGGCCAAGTGCTGGGAAAAACGAGCCAAATGTCTCAAGTCTTGACCCTGACAGAGCGGCTCTCCTCTCCAGGGCTTGCGTCTACGACCCGGTTGCTGATCGGTGCATGGAGGTATGCGGCTCAAGTCTGAAACTCCTGCAGAGGTGGGTCTGGGGGAGTTGCACCCCTTTTCAACTGTCACGGCGGGGTGTGGGAGGCCAGTGGCCCTCACGGTGCGGGGCCTTGCGTTGGCAGCTCTCAGAACCCGGCACCATATTGGAAGAAGAGGACAGAACGAATGTAAGACCACGAGAAGCCTAAAGCTACTGTTTGCGACGGCAACATATGTAGCAAAGATCGACACGTGTGTGGATGTGCGTGGGCGTGTTATCTGAGGATTCTTTGCCTCATGCATCCTGCCCGAGTGTGTCAAAACTCGCTGGTTGTACATGGCGACCTTCTTTTCTACGTCATTGCGCAAACTGGCTTGTCTCTCCTTTTCTTCGCCGGCCTGACGTTGCTGGCACGCAGGCCGGGAACTGAGTTTCATCTTTCTGCGATTGGCGAAGGTTTCATTGAGGCACGACAACTAGAGTTCGGCAAGTGAGTTGCTGCATGTCGCGATCTGTGATTTTCTCGAGGTGTGCGACAGGGAGCATCTCTGCCTACCGCAGCATGCTGACTGCAACACTGATCTTCTACATGGCGAGCCTGAAGACTTATGGGCTTCGAGTGCGATACTTGAACCGCAAAGTCGGTGTTAAAGATTAGTCGCACGCGGCAGAATTGCAAAAGAAGAACCTTGCTTGTCCATGCCCATGCCTTGCTAATGCCGGTGGCGGAGCGGCTTATGCCTTGAAGGAGCACCATTCTGGTCAACCTCTCCTTACGTTCGTCTTGCCTGCGGGATCAAGGTGTCTTCCAGTTGCCTGGCTTGCTTTGGACACTTCGTGTCGCATTCGTGCACGTGCTGCCCCCGCTGGGTTGAGCGTCCGATCACGAACCTTGAGCCTGTAGCACAGACAAAATCTACTGCGTGATGAAGATGCCAGAATGTCCAAACCACAGACACCTCCGAAAGCCCACTGCACCGAGACATTGAAACAGCGTATGAAAGACATCAGAAACCACTTCCGAGTTTCGTAAGACATTGCAGGTGGATGCGTCCTGGTATCATGTTGTAAATAAACGGAGTGGAGACGGAATCTGGCTGCCAAGGTTGGCAGCCGCTGCTTCGAACTCGGAGTTTTCTGCTTCTTTGCGTGGGGCAGCTGTTGCTTGCTTGCGAGGTTGCGAAGTGTCAGACGCCGTCGCCTTTGCTTCAGACAGACAGGAAACACCTACGAGCAGCAGCTTTTAGGAGCTGTCTGAGGGTCTTCTCAGAATCTCGTGTTGCCTGCTGCACGTTTTTGCCAAGGCTGCGCGAGCTGGATCTTAGTGACAATAACTTCGGAGCCAAGGGGGCCGCCAAGGCTTCTGGGGCTTGACGGTTCTGAAGTCTACAATGCAACAAGCCTTACGGGCCTTAGCTCTCTTTGAAGGTGCTACAATCGGGCAAAGAGCATCTAGAAATGCTGGACTTAAGTCGAAGGCCCAGTCCGGATGCAACTCCACTACAGGGTCGGGCTAAGGACAAAAAAGGGGCTAGACTTGGGCATCTGAGGTCGGAACAGGTTAGGTGATGCCGGTGCCAAAGCACTTGCAGAAGTCCTTCTGAACTGCGCGCTTCTGAGTCTGAGACTTTCCGTCATGATGGCAGCAAGAACTCATAGACATTTCTGAACCTGGAGGCCACAGTATCTCAGTGCTGCGGCTGAGGGCAAACGGTATCATGCCCTGCAAAAGGCTGCGTTAGCTAAAGGCTTGGAGTCATGCGGTCGTGAGTATGTCTCTGGCACAAGGCCTGTGGTGATTAGATGGCCATCTAGGCGAGTTCTAATCTTGCAAGATGACTTTCATTTGGCCTCTGTAGAGCTAGTGCTGTATTTGTTGCTAGTCGCTGTGAGTTGAATTGTGGAGCTTATCATGCATGGAAAGAGAGGTATCGGAGATGAAGGTGGCGAAGCGCTGGCAGAATCCCTGATGTCCAGTCCTCATGAAGACCTGAGTTTCGGAAGGTGCTTAAAACAGCTTTTTCCAGGTCAGTGACGTCCTTGCGAGAATTCGACTTCTCACAAAACGAGGCAATGCCCCGACAGTCGTGCAGCTTCGTGTGACAACAGTGTGACATGATGTGCAGATCCACCTGCCAACGTCTTCGGTGATGCTGCGTGTGAATGCCTTTGCAGGGAAAATTCCGATCCCTCTGGATTCAATTGTCGCTTCAATCCGAGGCTGTGTGCGCTTCCCGTGGGCTTCAGAGGCCGAATGCCAGCCAAGTTGAGTTTCCCTTCTCATGAAATCTGCGTCCGTTGCAGGCTCTACCTGGACAGCAGCTTGCCATGGCCAACAAGCGACAGCTTCGAGGCCAGAGGAACACGAGAACAAGCGCACGGTTCTTGTTCTATTGGCGGAAACGCCAAGAGGTCCAGGTTGCCGGCTTCACTGATCAGCTGAGCATGCCGCTGAGGGTATCCTGAGGGTTCAGTGCCGCAGAGCTTTGCTATCTTCTGCACTAGCTGAGGTGGCGCGCAGGCGGTGCCGTCATTGCAGTTCTTGAGCCTAAGGCAGACAGACAAAGGAGCAGATCTTTTCCTTGGTTCTCCATCGAGTGAGCGGGGGTTCCGGAGGCGTTGCGGGCTGTCCACCTCGGCCTGCAAACTCTTTCAATTTTTGGCTTCCAACTCGGCCGCACACCCAAATGCACCGACGAGCACATGGACGTCATGCGCTAGTGGCACGGATTCGGCTTCCATCTGGCGATCTAAGACTCTCCGGCAGCTCAACGTCTCTTGCAACGGCTTGCGACAGGTCTGATCGACTATCGCCTTTCTTTCGTGCCACATTTGCACCGTGTGCTTCGCAAGAATCTGCTCTGTGCCAGAGCGTGGCTCCTGCGATTGCAGCAGCGTTAACATCCGCCAGTACAGGCCTGGAGGCGTGGTCTTTTGCTAGGCTTGCAAGCCTAAGTACGCTTGGCCGTCCCCGCTGTCCCCGCCTCCGCTCCCTTGCAAGGAACTTGACCTGAGGGACAACCGGCTTGGAGCACAGGATGCGCTGGCTGTAGCTCTGGAGCAGGTTGGGCTACATTCAAGATGTCACTGTCGATCTCCGAATGTAATCGAATGTATCTTGCGCAGAACTGGCCTGCTCCCTGCAGGTTTATGCAGCTGCAGCTCAGGCTTCTGCAAGTGCGTGCGCGGGCGTGCGTGCGGGCGTGCGGGCGTGCGGGCGTGCGGGCGGGCGGGCGGGCGGGCGGGCGGGCGGGCGGGCGGGCGGGCGGGCGGGCGTGCGTGCG